GAACAAATTACAATCCTGGGGTGGTAATTATTGTATAAAAAGTATTTAAATTTTTTCTTTAGTTTATAGTTAAAAAATAAAGTTTGCAGATTTTAACAAGATGTTGCATCTGTGTGATTGACAGTAAAGGAGGTCCTAAAGAGTTGTGAATTGAAACAATAAAAAGGATTCATTTCTTACAGCAAATCAGTTTAACACGGAGTGTGGTGCGGATACTGGTTATTTCTAGCCGTATGTACATTATGAAGGAAATTCAAAGAAAATGGGAAGATTGGATGAGAAACACACAAACAGACCAAGAATGATGTCTTTACTGCAGAAAAGGCTCACTTCTTGTATAGGAGACTTGAATGTGGTGGAGTGAATAGTGAAGCTCTCGATCAGATTTATTTAAGTTTGATGAAATTCTGGTGAAAAACTAAACAACACAAAATTACTTAAAAATAAAGGCAGGTTTTGGGTTCAGTTTAGCTCCACTTGTCAGTTATCTTACTGACATCATAAATATTTTATGTGTTTTTGGTTTTTATTCATTTTATTCATTTTATGAGTATTTACCCTACTTTACAATCATTGAGATGCTACGTTTTGTTGCAGTGTTGTACAAGATTAAACATTCATGAAGTGAAATAGGTGGGAATTTAAGGAGTAATGGGCTCTTCACAGAGAAATAACAAGAGCATAAAAAATGCTGAGAGGCTAGATGGAGAATCCAAAACAAAAACAAGATGGTTGTTGGGAAACTAAAATAAACAGCCAATTTTGTTGGATCCAGTGTAACCACCAAACAAGGTTTTTCATCATTAATGGTTGCCTGTTGTGGTTTGATTAGAAATCTGGAGTGCGCCAATCAATACTTGTAACCTGCAAATCAGGCTTCGAAAACAAATAAAGCCACACTGCCATTACATTTATATTTATCACATTTATTTAAAACAGTTTAGTGATAAACAGGCACAGAGTATATGGTGATTTTATTCAAATAAACCAATATTTTGTCTCCTCATATGAGTGGCCTTTAACATGACTCACCACTGACAACAAATGTTTCATGCTTTCTGAAGATTGACAGCTTGAGCTGACCTATAAAAATGAGAGAAGACAGGTTATTAAAGGGTATTTAAACTTGCATGGGCACATTCAAGATAATAGTTGTTTCAAACATTTACAAAGACCAAGATGTTGCACTGAACCATTTTTTGAATTCACTTCTCGTTAGGTTACTTCTCAAAATAGGGTTTGAAAACATCTGAAGCAGAAATTTTGCTTTCCTCGCTCATAAATCTATAATGTTGTAAACAAGCCGGACCACAAGAAACAAGTCTCAGGTTAGCCAACTGCAGGGCTGATCTTTAAGCTATGCTTCTGAAAACCAGAAAATTAACTATCTTTCAATAGTGGTGCATCTTTTCTGATTTGAATAATGTGCAAAACTGATTTAGAGAAAGAGTCAAAAAAAGGACCAAATTAATTTTGTGAAGAGCAAAACTGAGATAAGGTACTTCATATGTTGAAGGTTCAGCACATCAGCAGAGAGAGGCAGCAGACTGAAAGACTACATTAACCATCTCTTTTCTCATGCTGAGAAAATGTATGAGCATGTAATTTGGAGTTTTTTTATGTGTAGCCAAGTGCCGAATATCTTAGTTTTAGTGATACAACAAACTCAAAATGTGTACTTGTTTTTCAGAGTTTGAAGAATGACTTGTCATTTACCAAACACAGATTTCTTAATCAAAATCATGCCTTCTATGCGGCCATAAGATTTATCACAAATGGTTTTACTGAACAGCTCTTTAAATAAAACGAAGTAAAACTAGGCTTACCCTGATTTTTAGTCTTTATGTTCATGTTTATGTCATACCATTTTTATGCTGATGACATTCAGGTCTATCTTCCATTAAGATCTAGCAGATCCCAGTCTGTACATAGGTTACATGAATGCTTAAAAGATGTGAGAACATGGATGGATCTGAACTTTCTTAATCTTAATGATAAAAAGACAGAGTTCATTTTATTTGGTTAACTCTGAACTGACAGGATGCAGTGGTGCTGTTGGACCACTGGACCCTCTGTCTGGCCGTGTGTCTGTTAGGAATCTGGGGGTGGTTTTGGACTCTGATTTTAAATTTAATGAACAGGTCAGTGCAGTGGTCCAGTCTAGCTTTTATCATCCGAGACTTATAAGTATAGGATTATATTCCTCACAATGCCCTTGAGAGGGTTATTCATGGTTTCATCACTTCTAGACTGGACTACAGCAACTCCATTTATTGTGGGTTTGATCAGTTTTTGGTTTGTCATACAGCTGGTTCAGCATTCAGCTGCCCGTTTATGAACAAGGACAAGATGTCATGAACACATCCACACTCCAATATTGTATTCTCCTCACTGCTTGCCTGTTTCTTTTAGAATTGTTTTCAAGATTTTGTTCATAGTTTTTAAATGTCTAAATTGTTTGGCACTTTATTATCTCACTGAGCTTTCACAGCCTCACATTCCAAATAGATCCCTGAGAGCTGTAAATCAAAAGCTTTTAGTTGTTCCCAGGTCTCGACTTGTGACCAGGGGAGACAGAGCCTTTTCAGTTGCAGGACCTTGGCTCTGGAACAACCTCCCACTGTCTGTGAGGTCTGCTGGGTCTCTAAATGAGTTTAAGTCTCTGTTAAAAACTCATCTTTTAAAACAGGACTTTGAGTCTGAAGAGCACGATCATTAGGCCAGCCTTTGTTTTAGTTAGATTTTATTGTTTTTGTTTCTGTACTTTGTTCATTGTTTGTATTTTATGCTCCTGTACAGCATTTTGGTTTTTATTGTGCTTTATAAATAAATGATGATGATGATGAGATAAACTTTTGATAGATTTATATTTGGCACAGGAACTCAATTTTCTTATCAAACTTTTTTTCTTATCAAACTTGAAAGAAAAACTACAAAAAATAAATGGACTGCCCTTCAATATCAGTACAGTCCATTTACGTTTTTGTAGTTTTTGCTAAGGCCAACCAGGCTACTCAAAGTGGTTTAAAACACTATTTTTGCCCTTGTTTACCCATCAACACACTCATTTATATAACACTACCTCATACAGTATCTACAAGGCTAATCTGAAGGAATAATTTTATAGAGTTTAATCAGTGATCACATTCAAATACCAATGGGGTACATTGAATACAATAGGGGTTCCATGACTTGAACAGACACTTCAACATGTGACATGAAACTGGTAGAATCAAACCTCAAACTCTCTCAGAAGATGACTGTTTTAACCACTCATCCACAGCTGCAATAACAACATGATTAGTTTATTCTGTCTGATGAATTGGAATTGAAAGCGAAGTCTGCTTTCAGGATCATCACTACATTTTACTTTCATTTTAGAAATTGTTAAAACTGAATGTCAACTGACGTTTATAAAATATTGAGCTTGATAACATACAAATCTGGCAGCAAATCAAACACAAGACAACACTGATGAAAGTTCTGCCCACGCGCAAACCAAAAAAAAGGTCAAACAGCCTCAAGCAGCTATTGACTATACCATGTTTATCTCTGTGTCATGTTTTGGTATATTTGTGAGACCACATAGCAGGAAGTCACTTTATTAATCAGACTTTATAGCTTTGTTGTGACCAACATACTGAACAGCTACAAAATTCTGTAAGAAGTTAAAGTGTAAAGATGCTGATTACACATTCAGTTATGATAGCTAAAGCAACAGAAAGAAAAATACATGATACCAGCTGTGCAAAAATGAAAATCACTACTTTTTACTTGAAGGAGGTGTTTATTTCAGTTTTTTCCCCCAGTGTAAATAACTATGGCTTTCATCTTTCGATAGTGATCAAGGAACAAGCTGTCGATACAAGAGGCAGGACAAGACCACTATGGAAAGGTGTCTGAGCTGACCCTTTGAGTCAGGATGAGAACTGCTGCTCCTCTGCATCAAAAGAAGGATTTCTCTCAGATGCTTCCTAGTGAGATAATCTGATCACGTCCTGCTGTGAGGAGACTTCAGGGAAGACTATGAAGAGAGGGCTCTGCCCACAAGATGGCATACCTCTGAGGGCTTTTTGTTTCCCCGGCATCTGCTCCACAGATATAACAACCATCCAGTGGTTGAGAAGATTAATGGAAATTACACAATGTCTCAAACAAAAGCAGTGTTTTCACTCCCCCTCTGTTCTATCACTTTTTTTGAGGTTTAAAGAAACTAATATTCGGAGCTGTTGTTTTGCCAAGCAAGAAAGAAAGAAAGAAAGAAAGAAAGAAAGAAAGAAAGAAAGAAAGAAAGAAAGAAAGAAAGAAAGAAAGAAAGAAAGAAAGAAAGAAAG